GTAACTCTTCTGTACCAACTTTGCAGAGAAAAAAAGCACGATGGTCTTGCTTAGGGTCACCAAAAATCAGAAACAGCTTGAAGACTGGAAATTTCCTGCGGATCAAGTCATCAGAAATAACAACAACAACGCATTTTTCTTTTCACCTTGGTCCTATAAAAGTCACTGTAACCTGGCTTATGGACATGTAGAAGTGAATTGTGATGTTGTGCAATGCTTGTATTCTCAGGAGGGGAGCGGTGACATATTTACATCTCCTGTCCCATTGTGCAAGCGGAGCCAAAAGCATGGGCATTGTATAACAGTCCCAATGTGCAATATGCTGTGTACATTGTGCATCAGGACACATTGCACATTGGGAAATGTTGTATATCAATACACATGGCACATTGAGTCATCTTCTGTGGTGTCCCAATCGCCAGTGTCACAGTTCATCAGATTGTGTATCTTGGTAGCAACATAACACTGCCATCATAACATTACACATCACAGCCTCTGATGCAGGATTTTGGCTGTTAGTTCTTACAGGTAACAGTTGTTCATGTAATAGACAACTTCTAGGCTTTAGTATGCTTCCCTACATACTTGTGTCATAGTACTCTGTGTGTGTGTGTGTGTGTGTGTGTGTGTGTATACAGGGACAACAATTGTAATTGACAGTTTGTAAGTATTGGAGAAATGAGTCAGAGTGAGAGCATTTCCTCCTGTATTGCTCTGAGCGTAGGTTGCCTTTGGGAACAATCTTGGTGAATGTAGGGGAAGAACGAAGAGCGAAGGGGAAATTCAGGCTGCTCTTGACAAATGGTGTACGCAGCCCAAGGAATCCCAGTTTACCCCAGGAACATCTGGAGGCACCCAAAATCTTTCTGTTACCTTCTTGAATACACCGTGGATGCCTGTTGCTAAATCACTATATAGTTCATTGTACCATGGGCTTTTTTCTTTTTAAATTTTATTGATTAAAATATAAACAATTACAGTTACACATACATTTACACACAGACCATTACAATACACTTACATATATACAATTACACATTTCACTATATAATCCCTTTCTTAAAATGGCCTCTGCAGGTGATGCCCATAACTATATCTTGCTACACCATTTTTTAAATATTTTAACCAGACCCTTAAAAAGTTTTTCCGTATATAATGGTTTTTAAAATTACCATCTGCTTTGGCCTTGTCATAAAATAAATATGCATGGAACCCATATTGTATCATCTTCCCACTTCTTTTAAAACATGAGAAGAGCATACACTCCCCAGTGAAGACCACACTAGCCAAAGTAGATCATTGCTTCGTTGAACCCTACAGCCATG